TTCTATCAATCAACCAATGTATAAATCACTCATAACATCAACCTATGAACCAATACAAAGATCACAACTATTGCTGATTTGCGATGATAATTAGTCAATATTCAGTATTAAACCTGGTCGATGTCAGGATAACACTGACTCATCAAAAAGTTATTATTACTAGTATTGACGTTAAGGAACTTATACTGAAATAATTATTGTTTTTTAGGTGACATGCTCAGAGCTGTAGTTGCATCTGGCTCTGCTCTCGGGAAGAAAGTCAAACAAGTCATGGACTCTGGCCAGGTAATGGCTGGAAATACATCCATATATTACCTCATTATAACACCACATGTTAACACGTGTCTGTTTTAGCTTGTCAGCGATGACCTTGTTGTGGAGTTGATTGACGATAACTTTAGCAAACCTGAATGTCAAAACGGTTGGCTGCTGGATGGCTTTCCAAGAACAGTGGTGCAGGCTGAAAAGGTACATTAATAATCGTATATAATAATTATCGACCATAATGAATACAGTGTAAAATAATTTGCAGTCTACATAAATGTTGTGCATCTTTAAACCATATGTTTTGCAGTTCACAAGTTACATTCTAATTTTCTCTTGGTTTGATTGTAGAGTAGTTTAAATTAACATTAAGTTAAGAGTTACATTGTGTATGCTGTTTGTGTGAGCATTATTGCCTCAGTTTAATAATCATTGCTAACCTCCACTCAAGTGTACAATGTTGAATTTTTCAATTTATGATCTTTCTGTTTTAGCTTGATGGATTACTAGAGAAGAGAAAAACCCTTCTAGATGCAGTTGTAGAGTTTGCCATTGATGATTCATTGCTTGTCAAGCGAATCACTGGAAGGTAAGACCTATGATCGATAGACAGCATCACWGATTTAAAGATTTMACTGACTGCYAGTTGATTGAATGATATTTAAGTTTCATTGGTTTTCAGACTCCTTCACAAAGCAAGTGGAAGGACATACCATACAGAGTTCAATCCTCCAAAAGTTGCAATGAAAGATGATGTAAGTTAGATTGGGTTCCCTGTGTTAAAAAATACACAGGGAACCCAATGCTTTCCATGTAATGTAAACAAATCATGGAGAAAGAATAAAACTAGTTTTATTTATTTATTTTTTGAGGGATTGAATTACGTCTGAGTGAATCTGCACAAGTATACATCAATTGTTAGATTTCTGTTTTTTTTGTATTTTTTTTAAAATTAATTTGGCTTTGAAAGGGAATCCCCTCTAAATCACATATCTATCCCCTTATTCAGTCAGTGTTCTTTGATTTTTATCCACTTATGACAACATTTTATTATGTAGATTACTGGTGAAGCTCTTGAACGTCGATCTGATGACAATGAAGCTACTCTCACCAAGCGTCTGGAAGCCTACCACAAGCAAACGGCGCCTCTTATTGATTATTATCAGAGACGAGGAATTCATTACAAGATCGATGCTTCTCGTCCTCCAAGTGAAGTTACTGGTACTGTTCTCAAAGCCTTTGAAGCAGCACATGCCCGCTTTGGAAAATCCACTTAATTTGTGAACAGATTTGAGAATGAATTCTTGGCAATAAAATTGTAATTTTGATTTTAAAGACCTAAACTGTGTGGTACCACTTCTTGAGTGTGTTAATTCCTGAAGATCCTTGATTTTTTTATTCATTTATTCAATTTCTCAAAGAGTTTTTGTCTCTGACCTTCTGTCTTCCTTTAAAGAAGTCACAGGAAGAGAACTGGAATAGTGAAAGGAATTTGGTAAAGGAAGCTGGCAATAAAAGCATGCTTTTCATGTTATTCACCTAAAAATTAATTTTTTACAGGTTTTTTTATAAAACACAAACTGGCAGACAGACATAACATTAGTTTTAGACATGTACCTACAGCAGTCTTTATTTATAGCAAATGCTAATCAAAGGACACGGGTATCAAAGTTCTTGAACTAAGCTTGTCCACTGCAGTATATAGCATGCTATTGTAGCTGACATCATAGTTTYGGTTGCAGAAAGATGATGGTGACTCTTTATGATTAGTAAAGTCGAATGTGTTTATTTTTTAAATTGCTTCTCATCATCTAATGAGATGTAATTAGTTTCTAGTAGGTTTCCACATTATACGCTTGTGTGGTTAAGTGTTTTGTTATCTCATCTCTGTAACTGGACATAGACAAAAATGGTGTACCATTTTGTAATAAATTCAATTTAATATATGTTTTTTTCAGAATAACATTCTTGAGCATTTGTGTGTTTGCAGAAGAGCTTTCCTGCCTAATTTACGTKTATGTTGAGCAATTRTTATTATGAAAGTTTCCAAACATTGCATTAGCTGAARCTTGTGGTTTTYGTGGTTCCTTTTGTTGTTTTCTTTTCAGATTTCAAAACATCCTGTTGAAGAGATGCCAGAAAACTCTTATTTCCATCAACCTCTATTGTGGTTTTCTATGTCGTTTCGATACTAGACATGAGATAACCTTTACGTCAGTTTCAAGGTTTCTACAAGGATTTTAGCATTAGATTAATGGCACAATATCTGTCACGCGACTGTCACGGTCATGTGCTGTAAATTGTCACGCAAAATGTCACGTTGAATACAAAGTCCGACTGGAAACGTGCGACAATCCACTTAAATCATTATCTATTTAAGGGAAACATTGTATTTATCCAATTTCACGGCTTGACACCATTTAAAAAGTATCTTTGAAACTTTAAACCTTGTTTTCTTTTCGTAAAACCACTTGTGACGTCACACACTCGTGGGTAGAATGTGTTCAAAATAAATTATTGAGAAGACTAATTTTGGAAAAAGTGCTGTGTTTTTACGAAGGGTGTAAGTTAATATTATAATCACTATTACGTGATATTTATCCTATGACAGAAGCCTTTTTCAGTAATAGATTTTTATCAATATTAAGGACGAGTATTTTACGAGGGCCTCGGGGTTTCGTAATGTTACGAGTTGATTCCTGTAGTGCGTGACGTAACTTGCCTTTAAAACACATCAGTTGCTTCACAACGGACGTCGATAGTTCAAAGTATCGAATCTGTACTCGTGTACTATCGTTACTGTCGCACAGGAAGACTCATTGTTAGACAAGTTATTACATACCTAAGAAGTAGTCCTGTCATTGGTGGAATTCTTTGTGTACTAGGAAAGAACTAAGGGATTCAGCGCGTAGTTCCTTTGATTGTCCATTTTTGGACGTCCGTTTCAGATCATATTGTAAGACGGTGTATATAAAGCCGTCACTACTTCATCCGCCAAGATTGAGGCCTTTATTATGGCAATATTGAACTCCGAGAAAGGTATCCTCAAAGAGGGGTACCTTTTTAAACAAAGTAGGCATGTATGGAAGCTATGGAAAGCACGGTACTTCGTGCTCCAAACAAATGGCTTGGTATATTACAAAGAAAAAAGTGACTTGGAGTGCGCTGGAAGGCCCCTAGGAGTTTTAACATTTCGAGATATGTCAATGCACATCGAAGAAGTTGGCGAAAAGAAGCGAAAGTACTGTTTAAAGATTCACTCGGAAGGAAAAAACTATCTTCTATGTTGTTTYTCCGAGGAGGAGAGGAATGGCTGGATGACGGCGATTCTCACTGCTGTTACTTCTTATTTACTTGCTGTTCGTGATGGTGCTTCTGAGGTGGAAATGCATGGACTATCTGGCGAACCTCTGCCTAGGTCGATATCTTGTGAGGCTCTTTCAAGCTTGTCTCTCAAGGGCTTAGCTCACACTCGTAACAGACTCGGGTTTGGAAGCAGCGGAGACCTTGATCGTATATCAAAACACGCAAACCCGGCGACTTCAACTCGACCACGAAGTCAGRTCCTTGCGCCGCTTTCCAAACGAAAGCTTAAAGCGTTTTCAATGTGGGAGACAACGAAATGGAGAGACAGTTATATTAACTTCTCAGAGATGTAAAGAGAGGTGCTATTGTACCATAATTGATAACTGTCGCCAMGAGGGCTCGACTTATAGAACAATATGTCAGTTGTTTACAATGTATACTTCTGTCCAACACCTTATGGATCAATTTTTARCGTTTTAACTGTTCAAATTTTAATTTATTTGCTGCTTTATTGTGCTCAGATGTTCTTGAATTACACGCAATCTACAGTGATTGATCGAAGTGCAACAAAGAACATCGTGTTCCTTGATATTGCGTCCATTGCTTGATCGCTGAACTGTTATTATTTTGACACACTTGTAAATAACAAAGCAAGTATGCATTTATTATATCAAAAAAATATAGAAACCAAGACTAAGAAGAAATAAATTAATAATTTATTATTTTATCATAGGAGTTGTTAGATAACAAATAAAATATATAAGATGATTTGGTGTTTCCAGCTCTGCCCATATTATAAACATTAACGTGCATATTAATAACATCATCGTCTGGTACGCGACTTGCATACTGATCAGTCACGTCACGGCACGTCTCTGATGATGTCACGTTCTACTTTTCTACTTTTCCGGAACAAACGAGATATTTCAATTAAATACTTTGAAATTCTTCAGGGCTTTGTATTGCAGTGCTCATTCCTGGGCGAACGGTTTATATATTTTTTAATAGAACAATTACTGTGTTCAAAAACCGCCTTAGGGGAAACCACCAGAACGGTGGAAAACCATTACAATGTCAGCCACGAGGGAAGCCTTGCCACAGACATGTGAAAACCATTTCAATGCCAAAATACAAGGAAGCCATTTATTTATTATGGCGGGGACCATTTCGATTTCAGATGGAAAAATTGTCATTGAAGTAATACAAATAAAGTGATTTTAATCAACTCACAAAATGACGAGACTGAAAGAATATAAAAGTAAAATTCAATGGAGTATCAAACATCGCTGGCAGGTGTTGACCAGGTAGTGACGTGACCGCAGCTCTCCCACTGTAGATAGTAATCCGAGTGCAGGGAAGCGGTGTTTCTCGACCGATAACCTTGTTACCTCAGCTGATAAAAACGAATGTCGATGCCATTTAATGGAAGAGTATTTTTCTTATAGGCATCCGGAAATTCCATGAAAATACCTTAATCCTTGTCATGACGTCTCGCGATAAGAATTCTCTCAGACGTACTCATAG